CTGCCTGTGTCTCCACGCCACGTGTTTAGGTAGGTTATATATCTAGACATAGATAGGCAGGTGAAACAACACAACCACTATATATATATATATGCGCTTAAAACAGAGATACTGGAGGAGATGTGGATGGCAAAATCCGATTGAAAATTTTTGCCATCGCGTCACCCGCAGCATCCCGCCACTTCCCTGCCCCTATACTAAAGTACGTCGCCAACATAGCATGAGCTCGCCTCGTCACATTAGCCACCAAAGACAATGCTTGTCGGCCGATCTTATACAGCTAGTTATAAATTATATATCTATCATAATTATATCTATTTATATTATAGCTATATATATATCCTCTCTCTCTCTCCTCTGCATTCTCTCTCTCATCGTCTCTCTCTCGTCCTCTCTCTAATATAATAAATATCATATACATATATATATATATATATATATATATATATGTTATATATCTGTTACTATGGCGTGTACCCTGCATGCATGCCTCTCACCTCAGTAATCCTCACGATCACATGAGTGCATGTGTTACGCTGAGAGATGGTTTACGTAAATCATAACTGTCGTGCTCTCGTCTGCGTGCTCTTAATATTTAAAAATATACTCTATTCAGTAACTAGCAGTGTGCCGCATTAGTGTTTCGACGGGCCCCTATATTGGTTATTAGGTTCGGCGCTCTCCTATGTAATTTGACAGGCTTTCCGGTAGTGGGACGTATCATGGTTTGCCGGGTAGTTTTTTTTTTTAGAAAAGGTGTCAAATAACGCAATATCCCGCAAGAATTCTCGGCATGAATAAACCGCTACATGTCATGTATGTAATATAAAGCTGTCACATCGGTTTAATTACAGCTTTCTTGCTGTCGTACCCTTGTCCCGTTATTGACGCTTTGCAATGGGAAGGAAGGAGAGGTTGTTAAGCATGCCCACTGGAAAATCGATGAGAAAGTGGTGCGAAACAATGCAATTTTCCTGTATTGTCGCCAACAAAAACCCATCAACAACCCGTTTTATTTCATACGAAACCGTGTAAAAATAAAGTAATAGAAATTTGTCGCAAGCCAGTTTAATTCGTTAAACTCGCAGATTCGCGAGACATTAGGAAATCTTTCAAATGGGAGGAATTTCTAATTCCAAAACGTATTAAAAATCTTTACTCGTAGGGTAATTACATCATTCGCATATTTTATAGTAATATTAAATCATACGAGTAATGAAATATGAAATATAAAATGAACGTCTTTAAGCGTACTTCCGATAACACGTGTAATATGATATGTCTATATGTTAGAATATTCATGTGTCCAAACGTTCTAAGAATTAACAGCAGATGCGTATAATAGCAATTACTTTTTATTCACTGCGAAAACCAGCGGTCCCCACACACTGCAATAATCACATTTCGCAAGCATTAGTTCAGTAATATATACACATAAAGAAAGCTACAGCGGCAGCTAGAAATTAGGTGAAAATATCTATACACGTGTAGCATGAACATATCAATACTTTACTATATTATGAGTACAGACACGTTCAAGACGGTACATATAATACGCACGCACGCTCGCAGATGCACGAACGCATACACTCACGCAAACACGCGCGAGGGCACGTCCGCACGCACGCACGCATGCAGACACAAACGCATACGCATTCGTGCGCACGCACGCGCCCACGCGCGCACACACGCTGAACCACCCTAGTATAAACCTATATCCAGGTAATATGTAATTTATCCGCAAACAAATCAAGTATACAATCTCGGAACTCTTCCAAACACATTAAACAATTCAGCGACGTATAAGTTTAATCATCATACTTGCGCGAGTGTACAAAGCAAATCGGTGGAATAAATACAACACATCTCGGTTCTGTTTCATAGTACACAAACATTCAGCACCTATACCACCACCTGCCAGACAACCCCCCTCGTAAGATTGCAAGCCCTGCTTCCAACACACGTACCTACCACAATTTATTTCCAATTACACAGCGAAACATTGAGAACACAGCGCCCCCTTGATACGAGACCCCAGCGCGACGGCGGCGCCACCTAGACGATGCATGGCGTAAAAAACGAATCCGCCTTTTGACCCCCTCACTAGAGGTGGGAAGATTCATCGATAAATCGATGTATCATGATACAAACCTTACCGGTACACGCATCGATACGTTTATCCATTCACGATACACAATTCGATGCTCTACTGAATAAAATCCATATAATTTAGTAGCATAGTTTCGTCGAAAAACAAAAGATACATGACACAATTGGCAATTCAATAGCAGTTGTTTACTAAGCACTCCACAATACTGATTTGTAACCGTTCACCAAGTGTACAGTTTGCCAAGCACCTTCTCCTGAAAGTATCGTGATACGTATTGTGATAAATATCGATATAATCAAAAAGGTGTATCATGATACGTTACGTATCGTGAAAGGTGTGTCGTGACACGTATCGTACCGTAAGAGGTGTATCGTGACACGTATCATATCGTGAAAGGTGTATCATGATACGTATCGTACCGTAAGAGGTGTATCGTGACACGTATCGTATCGTGAAAGGTGTATCGTGACACGTATCGTATCGTAAAAGGTTGTATCGTGATACATATCGTATCGTGAAAGGTTGTATCGTGAAAGGTTGTATCGTGATACGTATCATACCGTAAGAGGTGTATCGTGACACGTATCGTATCGTGAAAGATTGTATCGTGATACGTATCGTATCGTGAAAGGTGTATCGTGATACGGATCGTATCGTGAAAGGTGTATCGTGATACAGATCGTATCGTGAAAGGTGTATCGTGATACAGATCGTATCGTAAAAGGTGTATCGTGATACGTATCGTATCGTGAAAGGTGTATCGTGACACATATCGTATCATAAAAGGTTGTATCGTGATACATATCGTATCGTGAAAGGTGTATCGTGATACGTATCGTATCGTGAAAGGTGTATCGTGATACACATCGTATCATAAAAGGTTGTATCATGATACGTATCGTATCGTGAAAGGTGTATCGTGACATGCATCGTATCATAAAAGGTTGTATCGTGATACATATCATATCGTGAAAGGTGTATCGTGAAAGGTGTGTCGTGACACGTATCGTATCGTGAAAGGTTGTATCGTGATACGTATCGTATCGTGAAAGGTGTATCGTGATACGTATCGTATCGTGAAAGGTGTATCATGATACGTATCGTATCGTGATACATATCGTACCGTAAGAGGTGTATCGTGATACACATCGTATCATAAAAGGTTGTATCGTGATACGTATCGTATCGTGAAAGGTGTATCGTGATACGTATCGTATCGTGAAAGGTTTGTCGTGACACGCATCGTATCGTAAAAGGTTGTATCGCGATACGTATCGTATCATAAAAGGTTGTATCGTGATACGTATCGTATCGTGAAAGGTTGTATCGTGATACGTATCGTATCGTGAAAGGTTGTATCGTGATACGTATCGTATCGTGAAAGGTTGTATCGTGATACGTATCGTACCGTGAAAGGTTTATCGCAAAATGGATCATATCGCGAGCTACCCGTATCATCCCACCCTTACCCGCTCACGTCCCTCGTGCGGCCAGCTGAAATACGTGATCCTTAAACCGTCGACTCAACATCTCAAAGGATTCAAACGTGACGAAAGGCGCGCGTGACGATGCAAGCCAATTGCAGCCGGCCTGTCGCGGGTAACGCCGCTGCCGGAACGCATATATAGGTTCGGATTGGTGCAGAGTGTGCACTACCACTACTAGATATGTACAGAGAGACCCACAACGCGACGACCGAAAATATATAGGAATACCGTCCACCATCGCCGCCAACGCCACTAATTGAATATCACATTGGAAAACTTGATTTTCATCCCGCAGCACAGAAGAAGTCAAATGTTTTTATTATCGAAAAGATCCAACTCGTCAGATGCATTATATATACATATATATGCGTGACATATATGTATACGTGTGCGTGTGTCTATACATATATACGTAACATGCATATATATATATATATACACATGCACATATGTATACATGTATATTGGCCGCAAGTTGTGTGGTGTTGGCGCCGTGACCCCCACAATCCAAAATGATGAGCGTGTGAGGTGCAGTAACAGCAGCAGCCGCAGCAGCAGCTATAGCAGCAGCAGCAGCAGCACCGCCACCAGCAGCAACAGCAGCAGCAGCAGCAGCACAGCCATCAGCAGCAACAGCAGCAGCAGCAGCAGCAGTAGCAGCAGCAGCACCGCCACCAGCAGCAACAGCAGCAACAGCAGCAGCAGCAGCACCACCAGCAGCAGCAGCAGCAGCAGCAGCAGTAACTACAGGTCGTGGCCATCACAACACAACATAGCCGATGCACAGACGCCAAGCCGCCATGTCGACAAGTTTAAAAAAACAAGAGAGCGCCAGAATCGCTGACCGTTACGTCTTCGCGGCTTCCTCGGCCGTCGCCGCGGCGGCCGCCGTCTGCTGCGCGGGTGCGGGGGGCTTGGTGTTTCCGGGCGTGGTCTCAGGCGTGGCAGGGGCGGGCGGGGTCGTCTCCTCACCCTCGTCTAGGATTGGCCAGCTCTCCTCGTCGTGTTTCAGCAGACGCTCGTTCAATGCCTTGATCGCCTTTTGCCTGGAAAATTTGTTTGCAAAATTCTTTAGTTCATTCAACAGTAGTCAAGACGTGAACACGTTACGCCATCTAGTGAGAAAACCAGCGAAAATAATATCTAGGCAGGAAGTGTTGTGTAATACGACTTTAAAAAGTCTCTGCGATTTTTACGAAAAATAATTAGGACCAAGTCCTTCCACCCTTCTTTTAATTGTAAAATGTGACGTGCAAAACAAATTTAACCACATGAAACGAGCAAAACGAGTCATTCACGTATTTAATTTTCGCCCAACCTGTCTCCGCCTCTCTGCATTTGCCGATAACTAGGCAAACAGACAAGAATAGCCAGAATAATAATAAAATAAAAGCAAAATCTATAACGAAATAACACATCCGATAAGAGCGACGTCTGTAATTGTTTGTTTGCACAGACAGGCATTCAGCGAATCGGCACTAATCAACACGAATTTCCGACAATCTCCTACCTCCTTCGTTCGGCGTCGTGCGGGTCGGTCCCCGGAAGGCTGATCGTGATGCTAGAGGGCGCTCCAACATCGTAGCGGCGTACGACACGCTTGCATAAGCGCAGCTTCACCATCAGCGAGTAGACGGAGTTGCTAAAGATGGCGACAACTGGCTGGATCACGTTCGGAAAGAAGCTGAAACAAGAGAGCGACGAGGGTTCGCGCGGCGTTACAAGGGTGGGTATCCCGCAGGGTAAAAAATACACGGGAGCGATGAGCGATTCGCTCTTCAAACCTCCGAAATCGCTCCTGTGAGGCTCAAAATAGCTCCCGTAAAATTACACTTTAGCTCACGTAAAATTGATGAGAGCTATTTTT